ACTTTAAAAGGGAACAGATATGAAACACTAGTCTTGAAAACTAGGCTTTCAATTCCAAGAGCCAAGCACTTGAGAGAAAATGGAGTTTTCTGAATCCTAAGTTTCCTTTCATTTTTCCCGAGCTTTTATTTAAATTTCAGTTAGCTAACATACAGTGTAATATTAGTTGCAGATGTAGAATTTAGTGAATTATCACTTCTATACAACACCCAGTGCTCATCACGAGTGCCCTCCTTAATACCCATCACCCATTTACCATGTTTCCTTTTAAATATCAAGAGCCACATTTAGGAAGTCTAAGAATATCAAGCTCTTGGTATATGTCAGAGACTATGGAAGGATACAGGGTATGATGTAAGGACTGAGTTCCACGACAAAACAAAGAAAATAACAAGTTTTTCTGGGATGGGAGAGGAAAGAATTTAGTGGATATGGCTCTGGACTACAGAGGTTGCCAGGGCACTTTTGCTCCCTTGCCTGGTGCAGGGAAGAGGAAACCATGGAATCTATGACAATAACAGCAAAGGTGTGTGCTCTGAGGCTCCTACCTTACAGAGGACCCAGCACCAACATGAGCAGCTGCAGCGATCAGGAACGCCTGCGTGGTGTTTTCAGGCAGAGAAGAGAAAGCCTCCCAATACTCCTTTGTCTCCAGGGGGGGCACAGAGATATTCTGCAGATCCTCAGAAAATTTTTGAAAATTAAGCAGCAGTATTCATGCCAGGAGATGCTGCCTTTTGGGATAGTTGTGACAAAGGTCCCAGTAGCATCATAGTATAGTTCATGTGCCGAGAGAAGCGATGTCCCAAGACATTAGCAGCAGAGGCAATAGTGTTAAAGAAGGAAAACTCAAAAACAACTGAGTTTAGACATCTTGTGGTTGGGCTGGGGTGGCAGCAATTACTCAAGGTCAGTATCTTCGTCCCCAACATGCATGTCCTCTTATAATCCTTTGGCTCTTGGACAAATTCTAAGAGAAAAAGGGAGGTGTCTTTAAAAGTGGGAAACGGTCCAGATACAAAGTTTAAATTTTTAATCATGAGAAACTAAAATACTAAGTTTGTTTAAATGTTTACCCGAAGCGTCTAAATTTTTAACCAGAAATGATTGTGTTACCTTGAAGTAACACGATTCAGGTCTTTTGCACGTTAGGAGAAGCTAAACTATGCGGAACCGGCCTAAATTGAGTTGAATTATGGGAAAATTAAAATTTTATGTCTGCATAACTGAATTGTATCTATAATTTTGATCCTGCTGCAGTTGTTGGCTAATACTTACAAAAAAGAAAATGATTGGGGCTCCAGGGTAGCTCATTGGGTTTAAGTGTCAGACTTCAGCTCAGGTCATGATCTCGGAGTTCATGAGTTGCAGCCCCGAGTGGGGCTCTGTGCTGACAGCTCAAAGCCTGGAGCCTGCTTCGGATTTTGTGTCTCCCTCCCTCTCTCTCTCTGCCCCTCCCCTGCCAGCGCTCTATCTCAAAAATAAACATTTAAAAAAATTTAAAAAAGAAAAAAGAAAATGATTGCCATAGATATTTTTTCTAAACTACTCCATGAAACTGCCCTGGTTAACTTGTAAAGAACCGCTACTGCCAATAGTGACTCAGAAAACCTGCAAGTATCTGAAATTCTCTCTGAATCGTAAAACATTCACATTATGTTCAGGGAGTTTGCGATGTGAAGTCAATATTCCCACACTATAATCATTATAAATTAGTAATGCACATATCCTGTCAGGAAGGACTTTGGGTTGTTAACTGTAACGTTATGCTTCCCAACAACAAACCTATTCTACTGGAACGTTGGTAAAACCTTTTTACCGTAATGATTATTTTTTCTTAGGGGTAGGGTAGACCCCTCGTTTGTGGTTCAGCTTTCTTTGCTTTTAATCCCCAGCCGTCAAGCCCGGGTCTCACGCCGAGGCTCCCCCTCCTGACGCGCCAAGCCTGCTCTGAAGCCGAGGCTCCTCCTCCTGACGCAGCGTCATGACGTCCACAGTAGCCAGACGCTGGGCATTGCAGCGCTTGCGTCATTTACTGCGTCATCTCTTCATGTAAGCATTTTACCACGGCCGGTTAATGTGAGGTGAGTACAGTATTATATGTTGAGCGAGAGAAGCCACATTGATAAAACTTTTATGTGTATATTGTTATAATTCTATTTTATCGTTGTCTATTGTTAATCTCTCCCTGTGCCTCATTTATAAATTAAACTTTATCATAGGGGTGTATGTATAGGGAAAAAAAGAATATATAGAGGGCTCAGTGCTATCTGGGGTTTCAGGCATCCAGTGGGGGCCGGGGAAAGTATCCTGGATAGCTACCGTATTCATATTAATGGGGTGATTGATACATTTCGATCATGCCACTTTTCTCTTCTAGCACCTTCATTGGTTATCACTGTCTGTCAATTTTATGAAACCCTTGTTTGTGCACACTTGGGTCTCCATGACACAGTTCCAGTGACCATTTTTGCTGTATGCTTTGCTCCACGTCACGAGCGTGCTATAAAGGCACTACACACGTTGTGTCTTTCCACGATGTTAGCTTATTCACTCATAAAGCAGGGTTCACACAATTGTAACAGGCTTGGGATTCCGAACTCCTTTCACTTGGCTTCCTACGCATACACAAGACATACAATACAAAGCCACATAATAAACAAAGTACAAGTGTAAGAAGTGAACAAACCAAAGGGAAAATCAGTCGGTGAGCACACAGCTGAAATGAGGACGCCGTCTGCTCTGCATCAGCTGTCAGCACTTAACTGCTGATTATGTTCCGTGGTCAGCCCCGCAGGGCGTTCAGTGGCAGTTGGCCTTTCGTACGTGGTCAGATGTGGAAGAGTCAGCATCTGGAAAATCAGAGAGCTTGCTGCAGAAATCCTGCCTTCTTGAAGGAGTTTAATCAGTCGTTAGCCATTTCAGGCCTCTTCTGGTTCTAGTGATTAACAGTTCTTGGTTCTTCCACGTTCTCTTGGCCTTGTTAATTAGCAGTTCTTGGTACTGTCAGCGTGTTCTGATTTTAGCAGTGTCTGTTTCTCAGCTCATCGCCCTTGGCCGCCGTCCTGAATCTTTATGTCACTGCTTGACATAAGTGACCCCATCATACTCTCTACACTCAATTATTTTAATATTTATCCAAAATTGGTTATTGGCTCTTCCCCAGTAACTCTGTGTATCTACATGTGTCTTTGCTCCTAATTTCTCTCTGGAGTGACTTCCCCAACCTCTCAGTATCTCTGTCTCCTTTACTAATCATTTCATCAATCTCAAATACATCCTTTTTCTAAAGAATACCTTGATCCACTTTATTTCAGTATTCTTTCCTCAGTACTCCGTAGACCTCTTTTAGACCTCTCCTGAGGTTTATCCTATGCTATTTATATGATACTTCTTGTGATAGTTTATCTGCAACTCATACAATAAAGTTCCTTGTGCATAATTTTTATTTCTTGCTTGCTTTAATCTGTGTCCTCATTACCATATTGAGCATACATAGCCTGTGCTCAATCGATACATTTTTTTTTGAGATAATGTAACAGTGACACTTAAGTTGCTATCATGCCTTCAATTTAAAAATCTGTGATCGCTCCATAAAAGAATGCTTTGGGGAAAAGAAAAGACATGCATGAATTTGCATGTGATTAATCACATGTCACTCTTTGCTTTCAACTTTCCTTCTAGGTGGGAATAAAAAACGTGCAGTGTAGAAGTTTAAGGACTCCACAGAGCTGCCCAAGGACACGGGGAAAGTGATTAAAGAGGAAGCTTCTAGGGATAGAGTGGACCCAGGGAAGGAGGAGTTACTGCTGATGGCTAGGCTTGTGAGAATAGATTGGTGAATAGGAGAAGAAGGCATGTTGTAGGGAGAAAGAGAAGGACAGAACTAAGAATATATCTCCAGGCCACAACCCATGTACAAAATAGAGGGAGGAAAGAAAATGATACTCATATATTAAAGACACAGTATAGAAATACAGTGTGTGAACTTAATAAGAGAATGTAATTAGCTTTCCTGATAAAGGAGCTTGAAGTTGTACACTATGCTATGATGTGCCTGTGGTGGAAATGATTTAGATTTCTTAAATGTATGACACAGCTATGCAGGTGTGAGCAGTGATGCAGATTGCTGTGCAAAATTCTGTCCAAGTAGGCTAGTTGTCAGATTTTATATATGCCTATAATGGTTTCCCATTTCCTCACCTGTGGGAGAGCTAATCAATAAATAAATTGGTACAAGAAACTAACACTATTTATACACCATATCTTGGGAAATCACCCAAGGCAGCGAATTGGAAGGAACTTCTGTAGATATGAAACAGGCCACTCAGAAATCAGGATGACTAGTGATACCACTGTCGGAGAGCCGTTTCTTGTGCCAGAAGAGGGCCGCGATCTTAGGGAATTCTTACAAGCGGAACTACCAAGAATAGAACTCAGCCTTTTCAAAGGTGTTCTTTTTTGGAGAACTTCAAGGTCATCAGTGGAGAGAGCAATCCAGAGAAATTCTTTGCTTTAGAGATGAATTCTTACTACCCTCACTCCCTGATACTCCCTTTTATTTGGGGCAAGTGAGAGTTTCCAATGGGCTCTACCTGGTCACTCCATATTTATTTTAAGAGTGGATTAGATAATGTATGATCATGTACTTTGTAAATTAAATTTAAAAAAGCAAGTTTTTTAAAAAATCAATTTCCAAACTAATGAGACCAAGAGTATTTTCACTGAGTATCATGAATCAATGTTTGACTTTTTTTTTTTGAGAAATCGTTTGGACAATTGGGATAATTTTCTTTATCGATAAAACATTCATTTAGAATTGACCTCCTTATTTCCACTTACCCATTTTCTCTTTTCAACTCTGTACCCTGTTTTCATCCTGCTGTGGGTGGAAATCACTAATGAATCATTTTCCTCTGTGGCCCCATGTCTAGCTTTTTCTCCCAACTACTTTATCTTACAAAGACATCTATATTTAATGTGTATTTTATCTCAAATAATTAGCTCTCTTCTCTAAGAAACAAAACTGAACCAAACAATATTGGGCACCAGAAAGGAGGAGTAACTGCTGAGGGAAAAGATGGTAAGTTATTGACCTCACTGGATGCCGTTTTCTTTCTATATAATCATTTGATAATTCCTCTCAACTCCTGCCCTAAAGCCCACCTCCATCCCTGAAGATGGGATTGAATCAGTCAGAGTGCTCTAGACAAACAGACCAACAGAATCTGTATCTATGTATCCACATTCATATCTCTGTGTATCTATATAGCTGTATCTGTTTAATGAGGAAGACTGAGATTTTTTATAAGGAATTGGCTCACATGATTATAGAGGCTAACTAAATCTTATGAAATGCCATCTGCAAGCTGGAGACCAGGAAAGCCAATGGTGTAGTTCAATCTGACCCTGAAGGCTTGGGAACCAGAGTAGTTGCTAATAAAATTCCCAGTCTGAGGTTCGGAGAGGAGCAGCGTTGCAGCTCAGCAGTCAGGCATGGAGAGAAAAAACCTCACTTGCTCTGCCTTTTCTTTCTATGCAGGCTTGCACAGACTGGATGATGCCCACCCATTTGTTTTACTCAGCCTACTGATTTAAATGCTAATCTCATCAAGGAACTCCCTCACAGAAATAATGAAATAATGTTTAGCCCAATATCTGGGCATCCTGTGATCCAGTCAGGTTGACACTTAAAATCAACCATCTCAGAGATGCTCCAGCGTGAAGCAAACGTAGCTACACAGTGTCCACTCCATTGACAAGAACTCTGTTGCTGGCAGTCCAGCTTGCTTCTTCTCTATCCTCCCACATTCAGTGTTTTACTGTCAAGACTCAGTCACTAGTTACAGCTTCAAAGAAGCCCTGAGACTCTCAAGGATGCCAGTGAAGCTCGCTAGTGCTGTCTTCTTGTAAGTGTATGAAGAGTGCCCATGACTTTTCATAGCTTAACACCAATGCCTGGAGTGACATTCACGTTTTCTAGTGCAGGTAACCCCAGTCACCATGGGGACAGGTATTTTACTTGAATTTGTGGGGAGCAGGAATGGTGATGGAAAAAATACCACAGTGCTTTTACTCCTGTGAATTCCATTCAAGGAATTCTCTCTTTAAATGCATCTTCCTTTAGTTTTATTTTCTAGCCCTCTCTTATGTGGCCTTGAGGTAGATGATTAAGATCGATAGAGACTTTTGGGTTACCTGTTCCTTCTTTGAAGATGTAATCACTCATCATCCATGTAGTTATCAACTGAGAGGACCTTGGTGAAACTTGGAGACAAAAGGAGAAAAAGTCCCATTTGATAATTCTTCTACATATGCTTCCATGGCGTTCTAATCCCATTGTTCATAGCAATTATCACAGTAGTAATTTTACATTTATTTTGACAGTTGTTTGACTAGTATCTATGTTCTCCACTGTTCTGGAACTCCATGTGGGCAAAACCTGTCTTATTATTCTATCTCTAAGGTCTTACGCAATGTCTTGCATGCAGCATATTTGAATTAATGATTAGATGAACTGATGACCAGTCAGGGGTCTGGATATATTTATTTTTTCCAGTTACTGTTCTTTCTTTTCTTTCATTGAAGAAATTCTTTTAAGTAAGGGCTGTCTTCTTATGAACTAAAATGCAAACATCCTATAGTCTGTCAAATTTTATTGTAATATTAAAAGCTCTTCTAGTGGTCACTTTTGAGTAATAAGTAAAATATACATTTATTCACTCTGTAAAATTAATAACCAATTACTACTCAGGCACTGGGACTTTGGAGATGAAAAAACAGCAGATTTCCTCTAAATATTTACAGTAGCATAGATGTAATAGACAAGTAGTTACAGTAAAATGTGGTCTATTAAGTAATGTATGTGTAAGTAACATTTTTTAAGATAAGTATAATGTTCTAGGTCCTTTACTCACATGTAATATATATATATATATTTTATTTTTTACAACTGCTTTCTGAGTTATGTTTCATTATTCCATTTTTTTCAATGAGAAAGCTGAGGTTCAGGGAATTTAAACCTTTTGAAAATTTAATACATTGTTTGGGTTTATGTTTATTTGGTTTCAAAGCAGGCACTCCTTTCTTTGTGTCACATGACAAAGAACCACATCTTTAAGTCTCTATGAGGGGAGCACTCCTAAACTCATGAAGGCTCATAAGTGAGAAACATAATAAACTGTATTACTATTTATTGAGTACCTATGTTGTGCTAAGCATTATGCTGGCATTTCTTTTTAGCCTAAAAATAACTCTAAGATATTGGTATTATCATTCCTATTTCCTATAATGGGACATTGAGTCTCATCAAGTTTAAGTTGCTTGCCCAAGTCATATATATAAGAGGTGGAGCTAGGAATTGAAATCACTTCTAATGATTACAAATATATGCTTATAACATTTTTAAAAAAATGGTTCTTCTGAGACCTTGTTTTGACATTACTATAGGCCACATGAATATAACCTAGTTATGACAAGCAAACAGTAGTTTAACGGATTTTTAAACCTGCATTTCAACACTAAAGTCTGAAAACTTTTTTTTTTTTTTTTTCTTCTGGCTTCATATGAACTCCTGAGCTTTTGGTGTCCCTAAAGATAGGTTTTATATCCTTTACATTGTCATGATAATTCTGACAATATTTACCGCTAATCAACTGATGTGGAAAAATCCAACTGCTCCCTGTGGGATATTATGGAACATTGGTTAGTATGAATATTATCAGCAAGGACCTCACAAGCTCCTCATGTTCCTGTTTCTTCAACCAAAATTCATTCATCCATGGACCAATCTGCTTCTAAATTTGTAAACAGCTGTCCAGTAATAAACTCACTAAAATGAATAATATTCTCAAGCAATTGCATGCAGTTTCACAAATGCTCTTATTGTCGTCCTACCGGTCTCACTGCTATTTATGAGCTGTTAAGGCAATGAAAGGGGAGAATGACATTTTTTTTTTTTTTAATAAATGTGAACATGGTGACTTACACTTCAAGGTTCTAATCACCCTTTGAGCTCTTAAGGCATCTATTTGTCTTTCTGATTTAGGTTGTGTGTCTCTTGAGCCCTAAGCACATATTCTTTATGCCTGGTACAGTGCCAGATCCATCAGTGTTAAACAAATAATTAATCTTCATAATGATAGCTTGCAGAGGTGGTCCCACAATTATGGAAGGGCACCTTGATATCCTCGGGAAGTCTGCTTTGAAAAACAGATGTGTGTGGCAGATAACAACTGAATATTAAGGCAAATTATTTCACTTCTCAGATCCTCAGTTTCTGAGTCTAGAAAACAAGGGTGTTGGACTAGCTGCTCAGTTGTTGGATTAGAAATTCATGAAGCTAATCCGCATATAGTCCTTTTTAATCCAAAAATTCTTTTAAGTTTTAGAGAATTACTCTAGTTTTCTGGGTTCCTTTCAGTTTCCATTCAAATGTGTGCTGTAGGCTGGAATCTGACTAGATCCCAGTGTGTAATATTTGATGTATTTTTATTTTTCATCTCAGCTTCGTGGATTAAATATTGAAGAACAAATATACTTTCTTATAAAATAGTAGCAATGGCCTTGTATACAAGGCTGCAAGAGTCCCACACTGTTTGGCACCTATTTCCTAATAGTATACATAGCAACATAACACCATTTATGTATTCAGGAGGCTATGGCAGAAGGACAAGGGACTTGGGATTCGAGTCTGACCACCATCACAAGGTACACACAGTGCACCTATTTAACAAGCCTGTTAAAGTGTACGCAGAAATACACTGTTTAATGAGCTGGGGGAAATATCTAAGTTTAGTTATCTTACCAACATAATAAGGAGACTGGTAGTGATTTCTAGGACTTTATGAGAATTAATGTATATAAACTGCCTGACATAGAGGAAGTGCTCAGTAAAGGGTGATTTCCTTTTCTCCCCCTTCTCTTTATCCTCTCATCCTGGCTTCATTCAGCAGTCCTTTTTTAGTATGTGCATATTTCCACATTATTTGAAACCTCCCAGAACAAACCTGGTCTGCTGGTGCTGTTGTCAGAAATCTGGAAGTGGTGGCATTAAAGTGGTTATATCTATTAACCCATCTTTACAGCACTATCCTCTGCAATTAGCCTATCAATTCTGCCTGTAGTCCCCTTTGGATGAAGGCATTAAATACTGCTGAAATGCAATCATGATGGGTAACCAGTGAGTCTAAAGAGGTGGGGATATTCTTTGTCTTTGGAGAAATATCCATTTGGGGGGGGAATGTTTTCAAACTTCATACTTGACTTGGGTTCTCTGATGTCATTGTGGTGAGCAGTACTGTCAGCATGGGCCATCATTGTTGAAAATGCCCTTCCTTGGTTAGTTGTGTTAGAAAGTTGGGGGAAAGAAGAGCAACATTATAGGAAGCCATAATCAAACCAGTTTATATGTGTTTTCAAAATTTCCTTATGAGGGAGCAGTATGATACAAGGCAGTGAGATTCAAGTCCATTCAACCCATACCTAAGTGTGCCTACTGTGTCTGAGGCACAAGAATTGGTGCCAACACTAATTCTGTCAGAATATCACAGAGGGAAGTGGGGGCAGGATTAAGATTAATTCTGGGGCACAGGGTAGAAAGCATAGGAACTGCCTTGTAATTCAGAACCTACCCAGCCAGGGCCAGCAAACATAAGGACAGAATTTTAGGAGGTAGGTAGAGTCTGAGAATGAGAAGCGGCTTAAACATAAAGAGTAAAAGTGAGCGGAATATAAACATTGTTAATTCATAATATTCAGTCCAGCCTTGATAAAGATTTATGGCAAGCATCATCCTTTTTTTGAAAGTAGCAAGATCACAGGATCAGAAGTATAGAAATCTCTGATGAATCTTAACTCGCTGCCTGCAAGAAAGGTGGACTTAACGCACATCTCTCAACCTGTCTGAGCATTAGTTTTTTTAGTTGTGAAATAGAATCAATAATTCTTGTTCCGTTTCACAAAGTGGATAGTCGTGAGAATAGAAAAAGGTAAAAAGTAAATTAAAATGTTTTGAAAGTGATATACTATTTAAATTCCATCCATTATTGTAGACATTTTTAAGGTTAACATCAAAGAGATCTC